GTTGATTGTAATTTCGAATTCCATGTAGTTAGGTTGGCATAAGAAATGAAGTATTTTTATAACAAAGTTCGTCTCAGTCACTTCATTTGTGCAACCCTCCTTATGAGTATAGTGTTCTGTGGTGCAACAGTTCCGAAAATCGGGAAAATAAAAAGAAGTCACACCGTGGTAAGAAGGTAGAAATTAGTGAAAAATCATAAGTTGACAAGTCTCATGTGCCTCCTTCAAAATCGGAACGCAATAATGCTTATTTTACGCCTTGGCAACAGAAATAGGTACTTCTCTGGACGAATTCTTTCACAAGGTATTAGAGAGAGGTGGTAGAGCAGTATCTACAACAAGGTCGGAATTTGGAGAACGATAAGGAGATAGAGAATAAAAGCAGTTACAAAGCTAATAGTTTGAAAACTGAATAAACAATACGAAAGATGAAAAGCTTACGCATTCGTTCTTGATATTTCTTTAGTGTTAACAATGAACTTATCAAATTTTTTCATATACTTCAATGTCCCTTCGAAATCGCTTTTTCCTGGTAAAACTTGGATCTGAAAAGAAACCAATATGAATAATATAGTCTCCCACTTCAGCTGGACCAGTGGGTGGCGGGCTAGATAATCAGTCATCGCATTACACGGTATTGCCAGTCTGGGGAGATATCTAACTGCACCTGGGCATCTCCCGTACCGCGAGGAGGCAAATTATATATTTGAAAATATAATGCATGTAGCATCGAGTATATTACCAGAAACAGAGACGAAATAGCACCATATAAAGCGCCAACAACTGACCTGCACGTCTCCGTATGTTCCAAAAATATTCTGTTTTAATTGTAATAAGGATAATATCTCTAACTATGGGGGGCTGTTCCGTTCGAAAATGTTTGAAAGTGGGAAAACCAGCACAACATCTAATTACAAAACAAACGGACTCACATTTCATCGGTAATTAAATATGTAATTTTTAGTTGTTTCTAATTCGGGCTGGCCAATCGGAGCGCAGTTGTCACCGTAATGATTTGGCAGAAAGGTTTTCCAACAAACTAAATCTTTAATGTTTAAAGCACATGTTAAAAACGTACTAAATAGAAAAGCTTCTTCTAAAATCAATGATTACATGAGTAGTTCACTAGCAAACAACGTTATGTGCGAGGATAAAACAAAGCTATAAACAAAAAAAAAATTATTGTTCCGAAAACGGATTTTTAAGTGGTACTTTTTTAATTATCTGAAAATTGTGATAAAAAAGAGATAAACAATATGAAGAAACAAAATCACAGTATTAAACTTTTTACTTTATTTTCATTTAAAAATTGAACATAGAGAGTTTTGCAACAGTAATCTTAAAATAACTAGTTTTGTAATTGTTCAGAATTAACGTAGCTAGTTTTGCAACAACACAATCATAGCATGGCTAGTTTTGTTATAATAATAATAAAAAATGCAACTTGAATGTAATTTTTACTTTCCTTTAGACTCTTATATCCATGTCGTCAACCATTTTCATTATCTGTCATTTCTTCTTCTTTGGTCACATTTGATAGTAATTGTCCGATAAAATGTGTATATAATTCAAGAATTTCGTATTTAAACCAATCTTCTCCGAAATGTATGACGACCAAGTTTTTAATAAATGAACACGAGAGACCTCTCGGATGACAAAATAATAAATACCAAGCAAAATAACGGATTTTCCACGAGTTTGTAGTCAATAGAGCAGTGTTTGCAGGTTGACGACAAAATGGCAACTTTTGAAAGTGTAAAACTAAGAAAGATAGCAAATTTTGCAAAAGTAGTCAACATTTGACACTGATTTGTTCAGAATATACCGTATTGTTGTTACCGTAATACACTATTTTGTTGAAGTATTTGAAATTATTTAAAATACTAATCCATTTCATGCCATTAACTAAAAATCATTAAAAATGTCATGCAAAAATTTTTTTCATGCAGTTAATTTTCCCACCCCCTCTCCGCATAAACTTAATAAAATAAATAACACAAGCGCAACTACAGTCACAAATCACCAACAAAGTATACCCGACACGTGTTTCGCCTCTCCACGAGGCATCCTCAGGGGTTATTGATTGCTCGACACTCGGCCGAAGAATGAGCTCGTTCAGAACGGTTGGTATATTTATACCCGCTACCCCCAGTATTACCATTGCAGAAATTCGAAAAAACCCATAATGAAGTTGACGATGCAAAATTCAATTGTTCATATACTATACAATCCTTGTTGTTGTACCTAATTATTTCCATCTGTTCTAAAACACCCAGACGTAGTCCTTTTTCGCAAAATTTTAAGATTTCATAAGAATGAGAAACTGGTAAAATATGATTTGTTTCTAATAAATGTTTAGCGAAATTGGACCTGTCTGGGTGCTTATGCCTAAATGAAGAAAAATGCTTTCTATATCTAGTTATAAAGTTACGCCCTGTTTGACCTACATATACACTCCGACAGATGAGTTATAATGGTGGTAAGCAATACGTCTGCCCATTACAGTTGCAGTAAGTACCACTTAAAGCTTTGAGTTTTTTTTTGTTTTTTTTTTTGAAGCTTCAACTCAAGAAGATCTGTGAGTCAGTTCCATTGCGCTGCTACCCTGAGACATAAGCTGACAAGTCTCATAAGCTGTAATTTCACCAGCACCCTTACCCTTCAGAATCGGAACACAGTAATGTTCACGTTACTGCTTGGTGGCAGAAATAGGTAAGGTGGCAGTACGTTACTAGACGAACTTTGTTACAAGGCACTACTGCTACTTGTATAATGATGATGGATTACAAACCTGACTGAAATAAACAATGTGCCAAGAAAAATCTTTAATCTATAATTTTACTTACTCGAACTTGATAAAGATCCCATGGAACCTCTTGAGACTTTATGAAGTTTGGAAAGTATCTGTCAGTTTCCTCCATTGATATTAGTTTTTTGTTTACTATGTGCACCAACACCCATTCGATCGAAGTCAGAATTCTTAGAGCACAGCAGTATCTATGAAAATGGCAATTATGATTTTAAACGAAACAGACTTGAATAGCTACAAACCATATGCTAAAAGATCTTCAACTACAAACTTCTTTTCTTTACTTTACATAGTGAAGAAAACAGTCTATGGGTCGTATTCTAGAACTCTACTCAATGCTCAAGTCAGGTTTGCAATTAAAACACAAGCACTGGAAATACGACTCTAATGGCAGGGACTTGAGTATGATTTTGAATGCTTTAAACCATACTCAAATCCTGATTTGAGCATTGAGTAAAGTTCTGGAATACGACCATATGAATCACTGTCTACGAAACTGCCATGTATCTCTGAATGGCAGTCTACGAAACTGCCATGCATGTCCCAATGCAACCACACCTTGTTGTAGCCAAGGCATTATGGCCAACTTCATTTAAAAGCTTGTAAAACTACTTTCATGAGTAAAAGATTTTTCACAATGGCGCCAATAATTTAAACCGAAAGTAGTAAGGTTTGAGAAAAACTTCATACTATTTAAAAAGCTATTAACATTTTATTGACTAACAAAATGTGCATAAATGACAAATTCGTAACTTCATTGACTAATTAATTCACGCAAACATCGATTAAAAAGGGGTTCAAGAAAAAATCTGCGTTTGTTCTATCTTTGTGTCAATAATAACACCGTACTAGTGGAACGTTTTCACAAAAATATGAATATCATGGTTATAAAAACATGATATTCATTAAAGTAAATATAGGTGCACCAGAATCTGATGGCACTTAAGACAAATTGAAATTTGTAGTTGGCAACATCAGTATAGTAGGAAAAAATGTACTAGATACTTAATATATTTTGTTTAACCAAAAATAAACCATAAAACCATAATTTTTTATTCAATTTAATTTTATTATTCATGATTAATGGTAATTGGAATCATTTAAAAACATACTAATTAGTACTGTATTATCCGAATGATTTTTATTGTTTTGATATGTAGTTAGATTTTAATTATTATTGAAATTGATCCATATATCTATCACCGTGTGTGCAGCACGTCTAGGTATAATGACCTTATTAAAAAAATATGTACCTAATTTACCCTGTTGAAGTACAATGTCAGTAAATATAAATATACCTTCAATATGTCTGTTGCCTGGCCGGACACGTTGAACTATACTTTTTTAGCTAATACAACCTGTGTTTTCACAAATAATTGAATTATAAATTATGAAATTGAAAGTTTGTGGATAAATTAATTGAAACACCTTAAATTCATAGTCAATGCGTTGATATGGTTAACCAAGGCGTTTGCAGCTCGATGGTACATAGGATTGCTCGATGAGATGTTGGCCCATTTGAAACAGGAACAAAAATGGGACTGTATACCAGCTTCGCTGCAAGTCCTGTTCCGTGGTAGCTTAAAAAACATACAGAATTGATGTTAACAAATTATATACCAAATTGTGAATACAAAGATCGAACACAACGAAAAAGTCCATCGATCTGGCAGGACTTTTTTGATAAAAAAAAATCCGATAAAAACAAAGATCTGACGGGAAAGACGGGACAAGCAAGTCGTGCGCTTCATGGTAAGCTACACGCCTGTCCATAACAGCAGTGCCAGTCAGATTTTTGTGAAAAATAATTTACATTTGTTTATTAAGAGTATTGACGTGAACCATCGAAATTATAGAAATCCCAATAGACTAATTTTTTTTGACGTACCTAAGGTAGAAAAATATAATCAAAATTGTTTGACAATGACATTAAACACTTGCCCATTACATTATTTAAGACTAAATTATATGAATTGTTAAAGAATAAAGTATATTATAGTATTAGGGAATTTCTACAATAATTTTTATGTAAAAGAATTTAAATTAATTATATGTAACTTAATGTAAATGTAACCATGTGACGACCTATTTTTCATTTATTTTGCATGCCTAAATTATCTTCGGGCGAAACATGCTTGAACTTATATGTATATTACTGTGTTATCATGACCACCATGTTTTATGCAAATAAACGATTTGATTTGAGCTTTAAATCCCAAAGATCTGAGAGGTACTGCCACTGCGCCCATCACCTTGAGACATAAGTTGACAAGTCCCATGTGCCTGTAATTTCACCAGCACCCTTTCCCTTTAAAACCGGAACACAGTAATGCTCACATTACTGCTCGGCGGCAGAAATAGGTAAAGTAGCAGTATTTCCCTGGACGAACGAACGATGAACTTCTCAAGGAGCTCTACAGCTACTAGTAAAGTCTGGGCGATTGCAGCCTATGCGGCGTGATCCACTGAAGTCTTACATTAGATTAGTTCATTTCGTAGCTTACTTGGCAGACACGCTATGCCAACTATTTACATTATATAATATTTTTCTACGTGTTTGTTGCAGTTTTGGTTTTTAACGAGTTTTTCAAATTCAAATACAAATTCAAAAAAGTTTATTTCAGACATAGTCCATATTAGTGTTAGTTACAAAAAAATTCTTACAACCTATGTTAGTACTAAATTTGCGAAATATTACAGTAACTTATAAATTAAACCCCTGGAACCCATGTGGACTGAGTTCCAGTGCTTCCACAATTCACTGACAGGGTTAGTTAGCGCCATTTGTGAGAAATCTATTTCTTCACCCAGCTTCACTACAGAATTTGTTACATCTAAACTATGACCAGTCTTTATTAGGATTTCATATTGTTCAACTTTATGATATTGAGAATTTTGACGACTGTGTTTCTAATAATAATTGAGAATTAAGGCTCTCCTATTGTCTTTTTTCTTCCATGATCTTAATCAAACAGTTAATAAAAGCTAAGGCACAACCCATTGACTTACAAATAAATGGACGACGGGTCTAATACAAAAGCCACGAAAAAAATGTCCCAAGTCAACCTATTTAAACGTAGTGACATGTAAAGGAATATGAAAAAGCTAAAACGTTGAATTTAAATTGTAATGTCATCGCAGTACTGTCTAATTTTGCTTGCTTCGCTGTCAGTCGAACAAACGAAGACTAAAGCGTGAATGACGCTCTGTATACGATTTTAACGCCCTATAAGTTCGGACACTTTTTAGCGCGGACCCGACGTCCATATAATTGTAAGTCAATGGCACAACCGGTAGCATTACAGGGTAGTTTAAAACATAAAGGAACAACTTACAGGTCTGAATACCGACAGAGATATAGGAAGAGTCGCTCCCTTCACCTTGTTCAAGTTCCAATGTTGAGTCAAATCCATTGCGTCTAACATCGTGGCGTATATATCGAATGGCGTTGTTAGTACTTTAGCATTTGCTTCTACCGCTGCCCGTACTTCAGGTCGTTTTTTAATGAGTTTTTCTGGTAATACCATAGCTAGTAAAGGCAAACGCTCTTCAATTCTTCCTTGATAGGTGTTGCGGACTTTGACAAATCTGCAATTAATTTGTACTTTAGGGTGCTTTCAAATTAGATGCTAATAGAAGCGTTAGAGTGGCACAGTATCCATGCTTACGTGTTACTAACTGTTGGGTAATTTTCCGAAAAATTTCAAAAAGTGGAATTTTTTCCGGAAAATTTTGAAAAAATAATTTCAAGTTTGAAAAATATAATTTCAAAGACTCATGTATGTTCTACGTTTAGAAATATCTTTTGCAGTTTTATTTAGCGTGAATGATAAAATAAACTTTTATAGCCAAAACCTACATAGAGAAAAATGAGATTTAAAATGTTTTCACAGCGAAAAAACCTTTTTGATAATAGCTCCATCGTTTTCTTTCAGCAACTTCAACTATTGACGTGGGAAAATATGTATAGTTGAAAAGAAATAGTAAAAAGAAACAAATTGTTTAATTAAATTTTTAGTTAAATTGGTTAATAAGTTATTGGAAAAAGGTGAGGAGAACATTTTTAATACAGTTCATACGTGAGAGTAATTAGAAATACGTAAATACATAGGGCGCACTATAAGTTTCCAGAACTGGCCACTTACACAAACAACATTTAAAAAGTAATTACAATATTTGAAAATGGAACTCTTTGGCTGTAGAATACAGATTGTTTCATCTGACAGTCACTTGTTTTTACATTGTGGCGTCATTTTAGAAATTGGTTGTCTACATCACCATGGATTTAACTCGTGGAAATTTTCATAGTATGATTTTTTACGACTTCAACTGTAATTTGACAGCTCAGCGGAGCTTCGCTCGGCTTCAAACTGCTTTTGGCGATGAAGCACCATGCAAGACGACTATTTATAGCTGGGTTGCAGACTTTAAACGCGGTCGTGTGAATCTCAGTGACAAATTTCGTGACGGTCGCCCGTCCACTGCTGTGTACAACAAAAACATCAATGCTGTGCGCCGTATGATCAAAACAGACAGGCATTTGATACACCATGAGATTCGGGCATCTTTAGGCATAGGCATGAGTCAAATACAATCAATATTACACAAACATTTGGGAGTGAAAAAGCTGTGCTCTCGGTGGATCCCACACAATTTGACTGAGGCTCAAAACACGGATCGCGTCACTTGGTGCAATGCCATACTTACCAGATTCAACGAAGGGCGTCAAATTTGGTGTGGGACATAGTAACAGGTGACGAAACATGGATTTATAGTATAGCGTGCAAAGTGCCTCTAAGCGGATGATTGCTTCTTTTTTGAATAAAACTGGACACGTAGCTACTGTTGCTGTGCTCTGGAGAATCGTTGTACCGTGAATAGTGATAGGTACACGACCATTTGTTTGCCGGAAGTTATTGACAAACTCCGTAAAAATAACCGTAAATATCGTATCATCTTGCACCACGATAATGCCAGTTCTCACACGGCCAGACAGACAAATGAATTTTTGAAGGTGAACAATGTTTACCTTATGAGCCATCCGGCGTACAGTCCCGACCTTGTGACTTTTATTTATTTCCAAAAATTAAAAACCAGTTACGCGGTCAACTCTTTTCATCACCTGAAGAGTATGAAAAATATGTTTCTCAAATTGTCACGGAGGAGTGGCATAAATGTTTTCAAAATTAGTTCATTCGTATGAAGAAGTGCATTAACGCTAATGGAGAATATTTTGAGAATCAATAAATTAATTTCTGACCATTAATAGTATTTTTTTCTTATTCATTTCGGAAACTTATAGTGCGCCCCACGTAATAACCAATATAATGTATAATACATTTGTGAAAACGATGAAACAATAACCCAACATTTATGTTTCATCGTTTTCGCGGCGATGGTTAAACGACAAAGATAACTATATACGACATTTTATATCGTTGTCCTTGTTCTTTAAAATGTATAACAATAGTTCATTACCAAATAAGCAAACTTAGCTTTATTAACTGCAATACATATTCGGTCGGATTCGAACCGACGTCTTCTTGCATACCGTGCCAGACGCTATACCAACTAAGCCACGGAACGAACCAACGGACCTCACGAATTCTTCTATGTGCTTGCGTCGTGTCTTTGTACTTGGTCTTTCAACGACTTTTTAGTCGTAGCGCCATCTATGAGAAATCTTTGACAGATTTATCACCCACCTTTACAGCTACTAGTTAGTACCTTTACAGCTACCAGTCCTGGCAAGAGATGTCGCTGTTCACTGTATTAATGAAATTTTTTATTGAATTGATATTCAATTATTTTTTGTGAAATTACTCCACTAGTTTGTTATAATTATTAATACAAAGATCGAACAATCAGAAAAAACACTCAGAAAAAATTCCTTCGATCCCTTTTTTCTGATTGTTCAATCTTTGTATTAATAATTATAACAAACTAGTGGAGTAATTTCACAAAAAAATAATTGAATATCAATTCAATAAAAAATTTAATGCAATACATATTGTCACGGAGAGGTTTATCACACATATACTGCCATGCTACGGCCACTGGTCTTCACAAATATCAGAGTCAGAGTCGACACGCTAAGAAGATGGTAACTCCATGCAAACGTAGCAGCGCAACTTGTGTGTGTGCACGCCGTGTGCCGTATACGGACGAACACATTGGTATAATCTCGCAGTGCATTCACTTTGCATAGCGCGGGTCGTCACACGCGCTATTCGTTATAGAATTGAAGCGTTCGCTCGGTGTTTAAAAATTACATCAATTAGTAGACGTGTTGAACAATAGTGCTTCAAATTCAGAATTGTATAGCATTTAATTTTTATTTCATAATCATAATCCTATAATCGAGATACCAATTCTCTATACTGGTATAAAGATATAAATACGTAAGCATTGCATTTAACAAAGGTTATTTCAAAACAGCACGAGAAAATATTAATTACGCAGTAAAAATAAATTAATATTGCTCGGTACCTTCCCGCTCGAAATAAAACTATACAAGTACATATAATTTTTTTAAAGCTATATAATAAATTACCAAATATTTTAATAAATGAAAGCAATGATATACAATTTACAAAAAAGTTAAGCAATATTTTTATAATATCAACGAATACTTAAATGATACAATATAGACATAAGTATGGGGACAAAAGCGAAACAAATAAAAATAAATATAACATAAATTCAAGTCCATATATATAGTAAATTATGTAACAATTATTGTTACATTTGCTTTAGTGGCATCAACGCTCCTTGTGAAAGTGTTCGTCCAGAGAAGTACTGCCAACTTACCTATTTCTGCCGCTAAGCAGTAATGTGAACATTATCGGAATATATCGGAGGGTAAGAGTGGTGGTGAAATTACAGGCACATGGGACTTGTCAACTTATGTTTCAGCATGCGCAATGGCAGTGCCACTCAGATCTTTGTGAATTAAAGTTATGAGTGGCACTGCATCAACACCAGTCGCACGACTTGTTCGTCCCGTCACTGTTATATATATAAAAATTTACAATAAGATAATTTCTTTATTAAAATCTTAATGTAAATTATGGTTTTTAAATTAAATATAGAGTATTGAATACTGTCATGAACACCCTAGCTACAATTAGCATAAAATTGTGACAACCCTATGCTCCGAGCGAAGTGTAGACATTTACAAGAACAGGTGAGTCTTCTTTTTTTTTTTTATTATACTATTTTACTATTGTGCTATACCTTGGTCCGTGGTCTGACATGACTATAAGTAGCGTGTCTTTTGTACGACCTTCTTCTTTGAAGACGCGAAGAAAGTCGAGGAAGTCATCATCCATCGTAGAAATCAAGTTTAAATCATCGTGTGTTGTACCCACCATGAACGTGAACCCGAACTTTTTTCCTTTTTGTTTAATAAACTGTAAGAAATAAAAATGCAACGAAGAATCACTTTTACTTGTTCATAAGAATCCATGGTTCTAGAAAACCTGACGAGATGTTTTTTCTAGTTTGATCAACGTCATGAATGGCCGTAACATAGTATTTAGGGAATTTGAAGAAACTCCACTGCCTTATCCGCTCACGCGATGCGCTCCTCCTACCGCAAAATGGCGGCTATTTGGTTCCGCAAATTAGAAAAGGATTCAGTTTAAATAAAAGTTTTAAAAAATTATTATTCTGCATTGCTAAATAAATACCCTCCGTACTACAACAAAAACATCTCAAATAAAATGCAGTACTACACCGCAAATCCTGCATTTAAAAAGCACTAACGAAATTTTTGGTGTACTTGGGTAAATACGATAATATTCCGTTTGAGTGGTTCTAACGTTTACCATGAAATTATTCCTTAAAGTATAGTTTATAAACATTTATATTCAGGGTAACCTTAAAAAACGTTACTTACGGCATGTTTTCAATAAATAAACACCTAAATCACCACCCCAAACAATAACACACACGATTGTCGTGACGTATTTTTGAAGTTGTTTATTTTTTTGAAATGACAGATCCAGGCATTAAAAACTTTATGGTTTGCTAGAGTAGTTACCGAAATAGCAATTAGTATTAGTTCTTTTACCTGTTATAACTTCGATATCCGATAAATCGGTATAAAATCATCACCGGCACCTCTAGGCGTGGTATGCGTCTACGTCTGCATGTATCGCGTGAGCGGATAAATCAATCGTGATCAAAAACGGCGGGACGTGATGCTCTATGTCACATGGCTGGTTTTCTTACTCATAATTGGCTGCGTCAAGTCCATGACAATATAGCGTTTTACATTGAGAGCTAGTCAAGATTGCAAAGATCGCAAGCAATCAGCTCCGGTACTTATCTCGACAATACGAACGATGCCGCGCACCCGGGGGCGCTCACCCAAGGCACTAGCCTTTTGAGAACCAGATGAAGTTTGTGTTAACGGCCTGGTCTGGGATCAGGACCTGACCGGTAAGGTACCTGTCTAAGCTTGTTTCCCGTATAACCGGAAGGTGGGTCGGGAGGGCACTATAATTAGAACTTAGTAGAAGTAGAGCTTATGGGACTGCTTCTCTATATTAAGAGGTCAATGGTTTGTATACAGACTTTAATTTCTAAACGTCTGAGAAGTCCCTTATCCGAATTGGGCTAGCGTGACGAACTATAGCCTAACCGCTCACGCGATACATGCAGCAGATGATTTTATACCGATTTATCGGATATCGAAGTTATAACAGGTAAAAGAACTAATATTAATTGCTATTTCGGTAACTACTCTAGCAAACCATAAAGTTTTTAATGCCTGGGTCTGTCATTAAAAAAAATAAACTACTTCAAAAATACGTCACGACAATCGTGTGTGTTATTGTTTGGGCTGGTGATTTCGGTGTTTATTTATTGAAAACATACCGTAAGTAGCGTTTTTTAAGTTTACCCTGAATATAAATGTTTATAAACTATACTTTAAGGAGTAATTTCATGGTAAACGTTAAAACCACTCAAACGGAATATACCAAGTACGCCAAAAATTTCATTAGTGCTTTTGAAGTGCAGGCTTTGCGGTGTATTACTGCATTTTATTTGAGATGTTTTTGTTGGTAGTACGGAGGGTATTTATGTATTTAGCAATGCAGAATAATAATTTTTATTTATAAAAACTTGTATTCAAACTGAATCCTTTTCTATTTTGCGGAACCAAATAGCCGCCATTTTGCGGTAGGAGGAGCGCATCGCGTGAGCGGCTAAGGCATCTACTCTAATCGATGATTCAAAATTTATCTGAAGTGTAAACCTGGTGTGTAAGGTTCAGCATCCACTTGTATTGCGGGGTATCACCGACGCAGAACTTTATTTTTTCTTGGTAATCAGTCAACAAGGGCCGCAAATAATGATGAGTAGGCCTTGTTAGGAAACCGATGAAATTCTTTTGAAACGTATGCATTCTTGGTGAGTCTTCAAAGTACAACGTTCGGTATCTAAAACATTGAATTTAGTTCTACGTCTAATGTTGTTCTAAACCAGAGATGCTTGAGTGGATAGAGATCAGGGTGTAGAGGTAGGCAATTGAAAAAGTGGACATAGGGACGTGGCTGCATGCGAAAGAGGAATGGAGTATTTTGGAGAAAACAATATTCATGATTGCATTGCTAAGTATGAAGAATTTTAAAAAATCAGAACTGGCGCAAAAGTTTAGTTTAAAATAGTTTGTGGCAAAACCTTCCAATCATACATTTTATGAGTTCGTTCGGACGGAACCAGGTGCGGTTATTTGCGCAGGTTGGTTTTGGTACACTTAATATTGGGTGGTTTCAATACGTTTTGTCTGAACAAACAAGTAGTGCCGCGAAGACTTTGTATACGTGTTTGGTTAGATAGTATTTTGATTTCCAATGGTGCTGACATGTTCAATAATGATCAAAGCTCATAAATAAACCAAAAGTTAAAACAATTAATAAGTTTACACTTGTCTTTGTCTGAGAAAACGGAGTTTTCAGTGTCTCGGACCACGTTAGGCTGTTCGACTGAGCAGATTTTCGTCGTGCTTTGAACAACGAAGTTTGCATTAAAATAAATCACTACGAGTGATCCCAATATTCTATACTAAGCAAAGATATTGCGATTCATACACAATGAATAACTTATTCATTGATAATTTTTTTATTTTTTTTATTTATTCATTTATTTCAGGCAACTAAGGCCCATATAACAAATACCTTACAGACTAACATACATATTATTATTATTGATACATACCTTACAGACTAACATACATATAAAATAATATAAACTTATTAACTATTTACACGAATTACTATTCGGCGACGTGCGACGCAAACAAGTGTCATGTATCGTTCCTCTGAACCGCCGGAACATGACACCCTTCGGCCAAAACTCTACCTGCATGAAGGTCGACAGATGGACCGTTGGGACTCTCACCACAAACGAATTAAAGTTAACGTTGTGGCGAGACTCCAAACGTTCGACTCTCAGGGTGAATTGGGCTTTCAACCGGATATACTCCACTATATCCTCAGACTTCGTGGAGTAATGCAGTCGAGACAGGTACAACTGCGTCGTCGGTATGGCCGCACGAAGCAAGAAGTTCTGTCCCGTTGGTGCTGTGCCACATAGATTTCGGCTGGTGGGTTTCTTTCTTCTCTTCTCCACCTTTGTGAAACCGTCCTCGTCGCACCTGTCGGTCTGCCTTTGAGATTTGGCACCTGCGATTCCAGAGACAGGCATTCGGGGTTTACTACCGCCCTTTGCAGTTTTCTGCAACTCGGGTTTTGAAGTCGCGGTTCCGCTGCTAATAGTCGCGGCAACAGCGGCGTATGCACGCCCGGGCGATGACGTGCATACGGGTGACGTAACCTCCGAGGCGGAGGGGCAGGCAGGGGGGCACGGTGCATTGACAACAGCAATGACCGGCGACATACGAGCCGACTCAATACTGCCGACGGATGCTTTTCGCGCCCCGCGACGCGTGTTGACGTAGGAGACTGTCGGTGACCTACATACCGAAGCGGGGTTGCGTAACAACGCAACTTCGGCACGTAGCTCACTTATGGAGTTATCCGACGCCTCCAATTTTGACTGAACTTCAGCCAAACTCGACTTCAAGGACGTGATGTCCTTTAACAGCCTGGTGACGTCGACGTGGTCAAAGGTGACCGGAGGCAACTTGTGCAGCTCCTTCGCCACGAAAGTAGGCACGTCGTCCGGATCGGTATTCTTCAAGAATGCAGTAACATCCTGGACACTCTTCAAGCCTCCATCCCTCCGACGAAATGGCATCTGCTGCTCTTTGCCGCAGCTCTGGAACAGCAGCATCTTGCCACTGCAAATCTCATCTTCGTTGAAATTAGATTTGCAGATCTGCTCGATGCTGACTTCATCCATTGTGTCGATGGCATTCTGCACGAATGCCAGAAACTCATTGACAATGAGTTGTTGGGAACCCATTGTCACTTACGTACATGCAGCAGCCTAAGCCGCGCAAAATCGCGAATTAAAATAATTCTCGCAAAGTAGTGCAGCGCGTCCGTTTCCGATCGCACATTGAACACGACTGACCTCTAATCTAGAATAATCTCAGTACAGAGCACTAAAAAAACCGACCTCAAACGTACGTGGAATTACGTCTATTTGCTAAGTTTCATTGAAATATCCCCTAGTTCGCCACTATACAGGACTTGATACTGGAGATAATAAAAATAGGTTCTCACTACGACACTACTCAAAGTATATCGAGAGAAAAACGCCTTGAATTGGAGAAAGCAAAATCAACTAAATAATTGTTAAAAGTAATTGCTCCGAAATTAAAGTTAGGCACTATTTATAAAAATGAATCTTCGTGCGTGAACAGACACCCTTCGAGCTGGATGACTTTCTTCAAAATGAAATGGAAGTATCCTCTTTCCAACAAAAAAAGAATCATGAAAATCGGTTCACAAATACCGGAGTTATCGCGTAACATACATACAAAAAAAAAATACAAAAAAAACCAAAAAAAAAACCAGTCGAATTGAGAACCCACTCCTTTTTTGAAGTCGGTTAAAAATAAAACCGACCTCAAAAGTTTGCTTATCGGCTTTTTTCAATTTCCATGGGATCCCATCATTGACTTACAAATAAATGGACGACGGGTCTAATACAAAAACCACGAAAAAAATGTCCCAAGTCAACCTATTCGAAATTTAAATTGTTATGTCATCGCAGTATCGCGCTGTCCGTAGAACAAATGAAGACTAAAGCGCAGCGTCGCGCTCTGTATACGATTTTAGCGCCTTACAAGTGCGGACACTTTTTAGCGCGGACCCGACGTCCATATAATTGTAAGTCAATGGATCCCATTATCAGATTCTGACTTCATGGTGACAATGGGACTGTTACGGACTCCTCTGTATATTTTATATTTTATTTTCTAGTTGTCATGGCGACGGTGATTTGTTGATTGCACGTATTGTGTCAAGCGAAAAGACGACTTTTATTCGCGGAAAACAATTAGTTATTTGTGATAGCCGAAACGAACCCGGAACAGCATCAGGGACCACCTCGAGAGTATACCCTTTCAAACAGAGGAACAATTTTTAAAATCGGTGCACAATTGATGGAGAAATTGGTGTTTAAATGGACATGCATAGGCATTGAGGATTTCCTTCGATTTTTATGATATCTCTCATCAGATTGTGGTGACAATGGGACTACCACGAGAGTGCATCCTTTTAAACGAAAACAGAATTTTCATAATCTCAGTACAGAGTACTAAAAAAACCGACCTCAAAAGTACGTGGAATTACGTCTATTTGCTAAGTTTCATTGAAATATTCCCTAGTTCGCCACTATACAGGACTTGATATTGGAGATAATAAAAATAGGTTCTCACTACGACACTACTCAAAGTATATCGAGAGAAAAACGCCTTGAATTGGAGAAATAGCAAAATCAACTAAATAATTGCTAAAAGTAATTGCTCCTAAATTAAAGTTAGGCGCTATTTATAAAAATGAATCTTCATGCGTGAACAGCCACCCTTAGATGTGGATGATTTCTTTCAAAATGGAATGGGACCACTATGGAAGTACCCCCTTTCCAACAAAAAAAGAATCATGAAAATCGGTTCACAAATACCGGAGTTATCGCGTAACATACATACAAAAAAAAGAAAAAAAAGAAGAACATACAGTCGAATTGAGAACCTCCTCCTTTTTTGAAGTCGGTTGAAAATCGGTCCACAATTGACGGAGATATCTAAAAACATACATACACCCGAACATATAATCTCCTCCCGTTTTTTGAAGGCGGTTAAAAATTCGAAATCCGATGTCAGTTTTCCGGAGACGTTTAAATGCGGCGTCTGGATGGCTAGATTTAGGCAGGACACGGGGCCCGGGTAACTCGGAGTTGGATTTGTGTAGATATTCCTATTTCATACTCACCCATCTTCTTCAGCTTGATGAAATATGAAATTTTCGTTTCTCAATTGTTTACTTCTCAACATACTTCTTGCTGAATCCGAAAATGCAAGCATTGACTTTCCTGACAAAAAGGGAAACAGTGCTTCGGGAGTCCCATCGCCTACTATGTTGTACCTATTATACAAAAGTATCCGTTTATTCTTCTATACATCTTTGTCAAAACATATACCTCAAGTTCTATCACATATCATATAATTAAAAATTACAGTGAATTCATAAAAAAATTTACACAAAATTTACTAATCACTAGTATCATTCAAAATTAGGGTTCGAACCATTGACTTACAATTATATGGACGTCGGGTCCGCGCTAAAAAGTGTCCGAACTTATAGGGCGTTAAAACCGTATACAGAGCGTCATTCACGCTTTAGTCTTCGTTTGTTCGACTGACAGCGAAGCAAGCAAAATTAGACAGTACTGCGATGACATTACAATTTAAATTCAACGTTTTAGCTTTTTCATATTCCTTTACATGTCACTACGTTTAAATAGGTTGACTTGGGACATTTTTTTTCGTGGTTTTTGTATTAGACCGGTGTCCATTTATTTGTAAGTCAATGGTTATTTCTTATAAATTCTCACGATGTTCTTTTTTCCTTTGCCTTAATTTGGTGTCAGCAGAAAAAGGTATACGATCACTGCTTCTCTATCTACAGTGTTTCACTTTCACCTTGAAAAGGCCTAGTAGCAGTAGAGCTCCTTGTAAACGAGTTCGTCCAGGGTAATACTGCCACCTTACACTGCGGCCGGCCGTTCCGCATTCCATGCTTTATAATATGATATAACACTACGTTTGAATTAGAGCGTAAACCGTGTCCTGCTGACTGACTCAGGAGACTCGGATGCCTCGGACACGGCTTGCGCCCGGCACGGCAACGTCCGATTCGTTAGGTTCCGAATCCGGGAAACGACGGTCCGAAATGTTTGATATTCGTATTGTCTCGGTGACATCCGAAGTGGGGCAGAGTTTTCTAGATTTGTATAGCCTCGGATCCGGGACGAATACGTATCGGATGCAGTCCGTAATTGCACTTACTCACCCATGCATAACCACAGCATTCAAATCGTGTGTCAAATAATTATAGCTTTTTGGTGCTTTTCTTAAAAACATATTTCGAGATATGGAGTCAAAGCCAATGACAATAACGTTTATAGCGTCTTCCCTGTTCGCCTTAGGTTTGATCAGGGGTACTTCAGAGCGAACTCCAGCTGCCGTACTTGTCCACGATGGATATAGCCTCCCCAGATCTTTATTGCTAAAAAGGAATATTATAGGTGGCTGAGAACTGGTTTTAGAAATGTATTTTATGACGTTTCGTTCTTGTTTGTTCGTTTAAATCATCGAGTATATGAGAGAAATGGAGACGAAATGTCCTTTGATTTGTTTGAAACTATTCTGCCAAATCATTACGGTGACAACTGCGCTCCGATAGGCCAGCCCGAATTCGAAACAATTTAACTTGAGCTTTGCTATAATGGTCGAAAATTTAAAAATTGCATATTTAATATTTAATTACCGATGAAATGTTATTCCGTTTGTTTCGTAATTAGATATTTTGCTGTTTTTCCCACATCACCGAATGGAATAGCCCCCCCATAGTTAGAGATATTATCTTTATTATAATAAATACAGAATTTGGAATACACGCAGACGTACACACAGGTCAGTTGTTGGCGCTGTACTATTTCAGCTTTCTAATTTGTGATTTCAGTTCAAACGAGAGTTGATATTGAAAAGTGATATAAGGCCCATTTGCCTGATAAGTTGCCAGGGATGGATGGCTTTTATTTCGTCTCTATTTCTGGTTATGCACTTGATGGTTTAAATCATTGTAGAGAATACTTCGCAGATTATTCGCTGGCTTCGTACTTGCCAATGAACACTTATTTATGTAATTTTCATGGAATAATTTGTAATATACCATAATCGTGCAGTCCAATTAACGCAACTTTAATACTAAATATAATAACAACAGTAACAAATTCAATAAGTAATATGAAATGTAAATTTTACAAGAAATCTTCAACATTGTAGAATGACATATCAATCAGGTAATTAAACAATAACTTCTTAAATTCGGCACAATCATTAGATAGATAGATAGATAGATAAACACTTTATTCACTAGTATGTCACAAATACAGATTGAATGCCCCGGGAAAAATAAAACATTTTTTTCATAGCAGTGAAATGGCGCTGACCCAGCATATGCCTAAGTACCCTAAGGCGCTGCTTTTTAGTAAGAAATAGCGAGAGGTACTGAATCTAGAAGTTATTTGTAATTAAAAAATTAAGAAACGACTAGGAGGAAAATTGTTCATTAAAATAATAAGTGGAATAAAGTGTAATTATTGCATCTAAAGTAACCTACTCAATATGTAAGTGCGTGTGCGGATTTGAATATACATATAAGTGTAACTGTAAGTGAAAATAATTATTGTGAATATATTTTGATGTTTTAAATCTAAGTTAAAAATGTATATTCAGAAAGGCTACGAAGAAGAGTACATGGGAATATGAAAACTAATATTATCCGCTCACGCGATGCGCTCATCCTACCGCAAAATGGCGGCTGTTTCGCAAATTAGAAAAGGATTCAGTTTAAATACAAGTTTTTAAAAATAAAAATTATTATTCTGCATTGCTAAATAAATACCCTCCGTACTACAACAAAAACATCTCAAATAAAATGCAGTAATACACCGCAAATCCTGCACTTAAAAAGCACTAATGAAATTTTTGGTGTACTTGGGTAAATATGATAATATTCCGTTTGAGTGGTTCTAATGTTTGCCATGAAATTACTCCTTAAAGTATAGTTTATAAACATTTATATTCAGGGTAAACTTAAAAAACGCAACTTACGGTATGTTTTCAATAAATAAACACCGACATCACCAGCCCAAACAATAAACACACACGATTGTCGTGACGTATTTTTTTAAGTTGTTTATTTTTTTAAATGACAGACCCAGACATTAAAAACTTTATGGTTTGCTAGAGTAGTTAACGACATAGCAATTAGTATTAGTTCTTTTACCTGTTATAACTTCGATATCCGATAAATCGGTATAAAATCATCACCGGCACCTCTAGGTGTGGTATGCTTCCAGAGACGCATGAATCGCGTGAGCGGTTAGCATTAAAATTTCAACAAATTTGAAGCGGAATATTTGAAACTACCCCTAAATCCTGCAGTTCTATGTTGCGGTACCATAAGTACACATGACCGGGCAGATCTCTCCCTGTATCGTACGTTAACATTAGATGACCACGATCATTGCAATTCCTAATTTCACAATGGTGGAGAGTGTGTGAGACTCCTAACATTAAGCATCCAGTACAGCTTTATGCTGCTCTCCGAACTCGTGGACTTGCCTCTCTACAATCTCCCGCTAATCAGCGCCAAGTGCTGCCAAAACTTTTCATTGAGCCGTCTCAAAAAGATTTGGTTCTTTTTGGCTCTTAGAAGTTTATAGAAGGAACACCGAAGGAAAAAGAGGCAGGGGAAGGAAAAACTTAATGCCGTGCTGGTGTAGTACCAGGTACTGAAGTGCAGGCCACACCGCGAACGAAGCTAGCTAACTTAACTTAGCTCACGTAGTTGCATGCAATCAACTATACCCGCTAAGCTAACGTAGTTACATGCAAAGTTAAGCTAAGAAAATACGTAGTACGAGCTCGGTTAGCTTAGTTTGCGGTGTGAACCGAAAGATGAAAAGATGCCCCGGCTCCGTGAGCTAAGCTAAACAGAAAGATGGTTTTGTTTGCTCCACCGACAAAAGTAGATCAAAAATAAGAAGAAATAATACTAACTATACACTATCCTTACGAGCGCAGGATATCTTGACGTGATCACTAACAGTGAGGTTATAAATCTCACCGCCTTTAATCAACACAGGTGATGAATAACTATTTAAATAGTCATTAATGTATATAACATCTTGATATAAGCAATAAACGCCTTCATCTATCAACTTGTTTGAAGTCACTTGGCACGAGGACATCTGAAAATAGAAAGGTTCTTTACAGTTGTATCGTAGAATATTTTATACACACACATTTCTTTGGCATGTTCATGAGGATCTTTTCTTTAAGTAAAATATTAAATCCAGTAGACTCTGACATAACGAGTAGTGTATCTCTGTAAGGCTGCTACTTGACGGATTGCATGCACGAAGTTGATATTATGTACAACTGCATGCAGTCCAAAATAAAACTGACGTCAAGTGGTTCCGAAAGATGCATGACCCGTTCGAATTGATAACGGCACTCAATTTGTAGTCTTCCATGTATAAAAGTGGTAGATCTTTTTTCTAACGTATTATCTGTGCAGCCAAAACCTTAGAGCCGTAAGTGCGAAAACTCTGAAATAAGCTTGCTCTTGGGGTTGCCCAGGTACTACAGTGCTTCTGGTATGTTTGCGAATGCACAAACTGACTGTTTTTATACTCTAATGCGTAAAAAATTAGTGTCAAGTAAGACGCAGAATGCTGGAGAGTCTCAACAGCATATTGAGGGCTCTAGCCGATAGACCGGACATTGCTTTGCAAAGGCATTGGGAATCGGTTCTTATAAAATCTTGCGCATAGGGCGTACAAGTCGTGCGTCTGGTGGTAAGCGACAAACCTGTCCACAGCAGAGCCACTCTAAGCTTTCAATCAGAAAGATGCCACTGCGCCCGTCACCACGAAACATAAGTTGAGAGTCCCATGTACCTGTAATTTCACCAGCACCCTTACCCTTCAAAACCGGAAAGCAATAATGCTCACATTATTGCTTGGCGGCAGAAATAGGTAATGTAGCATTACTTTCCTTGATGAACTCATTCACAAGGGGTTTCATTGCTACTAAGATCTTAAGCAGGTGTTGGTTGCCTATGATATCACAGGCTCACCTTCATCCTTCAAACTGGAACACAATAGTTCTGTAAACGTAGTTCGGTAAATAAACTTACATAGCATTTGACCCAATCAGCTTCAGGACTGCAATCAATTTTCTTAACTTTCTCATCAAACTGAGTAATGTCTTTCGAAAACGGATTCAACTTTGGTATATCACAACCTGTGCCTTTCTCCAGTTTAAACGATTCTTCTAAATTTCTACTAACATATCTGAAAATTTTTGAATAAAATGTAGCTTTGTCTACAAATATCTTGGTAACATTTGCACGTTAAAAATAGGCCAATACTTTTCTTTACGGACATTAACATGCGCATTTGCTCCTCCATATCACCGGATGTAAAGTGAAAATTAGGTCGACTGTGGAGCATGCGCATATATGGGTATGTAATTCCTATTCACTCTCGCCTTGAAAAATCCCAAGGTACAGCGTTCATGGAACAAATCTGCAATTAGGGAATTCCACACCATTGCCGTCCGTCATATAAATATGAAAGTGTAAGCATACCCCGGACACTCCATACAACGTTTGAAAGTTATTTACCTACCACTACTACATATAGCAAGGCGCTATCTGCAAACGCGCACATATATGCGTGAAGTGCCAGGGTTACAGATCACTTTCTTACCATTATTACGTTACGTGGTCAGAGCGGCAACATAGCGAAAATTGTAACGCGAATCTGTTATCTTTAACTCTATTAAGAGAATCCTATTAATTATACAATGGACGTTATGTATTTTTATCGATAAAATATTATATTTTTCATTAATTCACTAACTACTGAAGATTTATACAAAAAATATATTAAAAGCACTTAAAATGTTGTATTTTGGACAGGTACCTTTAAATAAGGCGACCAAAGTATTTAAAATTGCGTGTCCAAGTTTATCATTACCTAGTTAATAATTAGGTATATTCACTACGCAATATTTATCGGCAATACAAATTAAAAATTTGAGAACCCTTGTCTGCTAGCTCATGAAGTTATAGCGTCTCAGACATAAGTTTTTTTACTAACTTCGTTTCAACTTTCAGTAACGTAAAAATATGTTATATATTAACGTACAAATTTCGTAATGGATAAATGAAAACTATATTCAAATATCAAAGCCGTCTTAGCGCGAAAATGGCCCGCCGACAGCCTTGTTGTCGCTCAGGCAATGTGACCGTCCATATGCGGGGTGTGGTGCGGTATCTAAAGCTAGGGAGGGGCGGAGAGTGTCCGTTCTCTTTATTTTTTGTTCTCTGGCGTAAGGCTTAGTGCGAATCTTGGGTATATCTACGATGTAAGGGTAGAATCCCAATGACAAGGGCATGGCGGAATTATGTACGTTATCATACAAACAAAGTTACTCGTATACTGAACATGACAATGATTTACAGATGCGATAATAATGGTCATTGTAATAACATACTCATCGTTACTGATCAAGTTTATGATGTTCGTTTCTTGTTCCAATCAGGGTTGTTGCTGATGCAGATTTTTATACATCAGCGGATGCTGATTTTATGTATTTAAAAAAACGCGAAATGCGAACATCCTCGAACGTCATCGAATCAGAAATGAGGAGAACCGTAGAAGAACAAAAGTCGCCTACAAGTCTCAAAGGATTAGCAAGTTGAGATGGGCAGGGCACATAGCTCGTAGAACTGACGGCCGTTGGGGCAGAAAGGTTCTCGAATGGACACCACGAAGCGGAAGGCGTTCAGTGGTACGGTCCCCGACCAGACGTCGTCGGTTAGAATCCGGCCGGAACAAAGGATTTTTTCTGAGTGTTCGTTTTTTGTATTAATAATTATAACGAACTAGTGGAGTAATTTCACATAAAAGTAATTCAATATCACATTGACTTACAAATAAATGAACGACGGGTCTAATACAAAAACCACGAAAAAAATGTCCCAAGTCAACCTATTTCAACGTAGTGACATGTAAAGGAATATGAAAAAGCTAAAACGTTGAATTTAAATTGTAATGTCATCGCAGTACTGTCTAATTTTGCTCGCTTCTTTGTCAGTCGAACAAACGAAGACTAAAGCGTGAATGACGCTCTGTATACGATTTTAACGCCCTATAAGTTCGGACACTTTTTAGCGCGGACCCGACGTCCATATAATTGTAAGTCAATGAAATATCAATTCAATACAAATTTAAATATGAATACGTACTCAATTGCAAACTTCGGTCCCAAATATTCCTCATTTTCGCCTCTTACCGGCTTTTTTCCTAAATATAAATATAACACGGAGGTAACAATGATTCCAATTAACAATACAAGCGCCTGCTTGGTCGACAAACGCCTTCGCCTATGCGGTAGTCTGCGAAACTGGAAAATGTAAAATAACACAATTGTTATTATTTGTATATTGTTGCGAACGCATTTATTTGCGCGAAAATTTTTGTAATACAATTTAAGAGGGAGCAGAGGAAAAATTCCTAATCTTCGATTTGATTTTTAGAGGGGTATACTTTAAAGTTAAAAATAAAATATTGTATGAGTAACTACACGATATATTCAAGCGTAGACACTAATCAGAAACATAAAACAATAAAGTTTCCTCGATAGATAAAAATCACGAAATGACCTCTAATTTTCACATTTTTTCGATTCATCCTCGAAATGCTACAGGTTATTAGGACGAAAATTAGATTATTAATTATATTTATGCATGATCGAGAACTGTCACTACGGATTTTTTTTAATCCCTTTAGTTTTAGAGTTATTCCGCTAAAACGAATTTGGTACTT